CCAGGCCGTTCGCTGCAGCGGCCCTTGTGCCCCTCCTCCCCTCCCCAGAGCCCTTTGCTGAAGGGGAAACTGAGGCACGAGTGCCCCATATCAGCAAGGCGGGGGCTGCAGCTTGCTGGGTGCCCCACGGTGCATCCCGTGTCCACAGGCTCCGAGGATTGCTCCCGAAACTTCACGGGCTCCAACGGCACCATCGAGTCCCCGGGCTTCCCGGACAAGTACCCGCACAACCTGGACTGCGTGTTCACCATCCTCGCCAAGCCGCGCACCGAGATCCTCCTCCACTTCCTCCTCTTCGACCTGGAGCACGACCCGCTGCAGGCCGGCGAGGGCGACTGCAAGTACGACTGGCTCGACATCTGGGACGGCATCCCACAAGGTGAGGCGCCCCGCGCCACTGCCCCCAAAACCACCCGTCCCTGCCCAAAACCCTGCCCACTTCGGGCGCTACCTCCGCTGCTCCTTTCCTTGCAGTCGGCCCCCTCATCGGCAGGTACTGCGGCACCAGGATGCCCTCAGACATCCGCTCCACCACGGGCGTCCTCTCGCTGACTTTCCACACGGACCTGGCAGTAGCCAAGGATGGCTTCTCAGCGCACTACGAGCTGCTCCCGCAGGAAGTGCCCGAAAGTAAGTTGGAAAGGCCGTTTCTGAATCTTTTTGCTTGCTCGGGAAGTTTCTGTGCACGTGCTCAGCCCAAGGGCTGACGCGGGGGGAGGCTACGGCCCAACGTGTGCAGCAGCATCGCTCAAGAACGTGCAAAACCCCTCCCTCTCTCCAGTTTCCCCAAAACACACAGCCCAGCATGAGGGCAGCTGGGGTGGGACTGAATTAGGGGCATCTCTACTGAGGCCACATGAGTTGAGGACCCGCACAAGCTCTTCCTGCTGCATCTTGCTGCACTTGGATCCCATTTCTGTTCCTTTTAAAAAGCCTGGGAAATAAAATGCTAATGAGACATAAAGCTTGAGAAACCAGGCACAAGAAATGCGAAGGAGCCAGGCCTGTTTTGATTTGTGCTGGTGTAAATTGAAACTTTAATGACACCGCTGAGATCTTAACTTGGCCCATTGCTTCCAGCCCAGAGTTGACTTGGCCGTGGTAAAAACACAGGCAGTTTGATGGAGCTCCGTGGGTTTATGGCCCACACGGTATTTCCTATCAGTGTTTTTCCTTTGTTGTTGTTTTTACGGGACGGCTGCCATGAAATGTATGAGATGTGCAATGAGATTGAGCTAACTGTGACTTTCAAAAGCCTTAGAGATGAGGAAACTCAAATAAGAGTGTGCCAGATTCTTTCATGTTGGGACTGGCTAATTCCTATGGGCCTGATGTCCTGTGTGGCGGCGTGCTTGTACACACACAGACACAACCCCCTAAAGCAGCCTGTTCCTTGCCCTGTCGGTGCTTATGTTTCACCTCCTGCCTCCGAGAGGACGGAGGACTCCATGGCCAGGGGTCTCGGTGCAGCTTGGTGTGCGTGGATGGGAGGAAGGGGCAGAGCCATGCGCCAAAACTGCGCAGAGGAGAAGGAGGTGGAGGAAGATCTGCACCGCATTAGCTTGCAAAGGGCCATCCCAGTATAAAGCCATCCCACCCACGGGCACGGCCAGCAAGGAGCAGCATTCCCTGCCTCCCAGCTTCCAGCTGAGGTCTGTGCGTATCCGTTGCAGACTTCCAGTGCAATACACCGCTGGGCATGGAGTCGGGCCGCATCTCCAACGCGCAGATCAGCGCCTCCTCCACCTACTCGGACGGGCGCTGGACGCCGCAGCAGAGCCGCCTCAACAGCGATGACAACGGCTGGACGCCCAACGTGGACAGCAACAAGGAGTATCTCCAGGTACGCGCGCCCCGAGCCTCGAGGAGGCCCGCGGAGAACCGTCGGGAATAGCGCTCATCCCAGCAGCGCCTGCGCTGGGCATCACGCTGGGGGCTGCCGGAGCGGAGGCTTTTCCCAAGGAGCCGACTCGACCCGCGCTCGCTGTCCACAAAGGGCCTCGGGCACCGTCACAGCGCTGAGAGATGCGGCCCGCTAAAGGGCACCGAGGAGGGGAGGTGGTGAAATGTCACCGCCTCGAGCAGATGTCTCATTCTTCATTCATGGCAGCGCGACCAAGTCGGCTCCCCTGACCTTTCTCAACCCACATTGTGGGGAAGAAAAGAATGGGAAAGCCAGGAACTGCAGCACTTGCTAATTGGACATGGTGCTTTTATTTTACATGGAAAAAGTCGGCCTCTGTCCTGCTTTACGGGACATGGGGGTCCAGCCTCTGCTCAGATCCTGGTGGGAGGCAGGGAGAAGGGCCTTAATCCTACCCAAAAGTGTCCTGTGGAAATCAGCTCGGATTTTTGTACCCGTTAAGCCTGGGTCTTTGTACCCGGGTCTTTTGACATGCAGCTACGGATGGAGTGAGACAGGCTGAATTTGCACCTTATTTCAAGGTGGAGGAAGGACCGGCCTGGGCTGCCAGGTGGTCACGGTCCCTCTCGTGTCCCTCTCTCCCTGGCAAGGTGGACCTGCACTTCCTGACGGTGCTCACGGCCATCGCCACGCAGGGCGCCGTCTCCAGAGAGACGCAGACCGGCTACTACGTGCGCACCTACAAGCTGGAGGTCAGCACCAACGGGGAGGACTGGATGATGTACCGGCATGGCAAGAACCACAAGGTAAGGGCCCTTCCTCCTCTCTCTGCGTGCGCCACAGTGAGCCTTGCAGAAAACAGCTCAGAGATTTCGGCGGGGTTTTTCTGGATGAGCTAAAGGACCATGATGATGCTCCGAGCAGAAATGTCCTTTCCCCTCTGCACACTGTTCCTTGGAAAACCTGGCTGCTGCTGTGTCTTTCGTGGTGGCAAGAGCGTGTCCGTTGACTGCAAATGAAGGAGAAAATGCTTTCACGGCCTGTGCTTTGCTGCGCAAGATTCATCGAGCTTTTATGGCCGTCACCCCGTCCGCATGCTGGGTTAGCAATCACAAAACCCCACGAAACGGTAGCTCGGGAGCTATCGAGGCCTGGAAATGAAAGGGCACAAATCCTAAGAGGGGATCGCGCCATCCCAGCGAGCAAAATGAGCAATAAATAACAAGGAGCAATTGGGGCTGTCAGGGGTGCGGGCTCCGCGCTGGCTGGCGCGGCAGGCGGGGATGCAGCGAGACCTTGGCGCTGGCGCGTGCAATTCCTGCCTGCGTGCAGCTCTCATATATAAATAATGCCTATATATTTATATACGTATAACTACATATATATATGTATGCACGCCCACGTGGGCACATCTGCACACTGCCCGATATCATTTATCTTCCACCTCCTCACCCCCAGATTTAATAAATCCAGCCGTGTCTGCCGACCGCTTGTGCCAGGAGCCTCTCGCCATCAACCATGGCCCGTTTTGCGCCTTCCCTTAGCTGACAGGGAAGGTAATCCCCCCTGCTTTTCTCCTTCATGCTTCCCCGTCTAAATCCCAAAGCCCTAATCCTGTTAGCGAGCTCTCTTCCCGCGCTCGGCCGCCGCCGCAGCCACGTAATCCTGCCGTAAATCCAGCGGGGCCGGCGCGATGCCTGCGCCCAGCCATGCCCTTCTCCCGCGAAACCGCAGGGCGGCCAAGCAACGCTCTAAAGAAGTAAATCGGGAGGGAGCTCCCACTTCAGGTTCCTGTTTGTGCCCCGTGCCCCTTCAGCACGTGGGCTTGCCGCCGCGCGTGCCTCTCCATCTCCCCGCCTCGCAGCCAGGAGGATTCTCTTATTTTTTTTTCCCCTGCTGGTGTAAATTACTGTGACTTCTTGTGCTTCGACGGAGGCATGTTGATTTACACCGCTCCGAGACTTGGCTCAAAATACGTGCTGAGTGGGATGGAAAGCAGAGAGGCTGGAGGAATAGCAGTGTGCTATTTTGGTAAGGGGGAAGAAATCGCTGCTTTCTTGGCGCTCCCCACTTCACACGTTTTCCTGCTAGCGCTTCCCATGCCGCGAGTGCTAATTTGAGGCAGGAGGCAGAGCCTGTGGAAGTCAACGGGGCTCTTTCCACCGTCCTCCCTGGGTCTGGAATCAGTGTTTTTGGTGCGATGAGACACGTTCAGCCACGGGCTCTGGTCACCTGCCTGCTTTTCCTCTTGGGAAAAAGGCCTTACAGACAGAATATCTGTGAGGATCCCATTTCCAAGAGCACCAACACCTGCGCTCTGAAAGCCAGGCCCCGTCACACTGTGCAGACCTGGGTCCCAACCATGATTTGCTGTGGTCTGTTGTGCTCCCCAGAAATGATGTCGGTTGGGGCAGGTGCTGCCAATGCAGCTCATGTTAGAGCCTGGGGTCCAGTGTCACTTCTGGCCTGTGGCCCATGATTCAGACGGGTTCCTCAGGCTTGCCCAGCTGGTTGAACACCATCACCAGGCCCCAAGTCTAACACAGCTCAGAGGCTGTTCTTGGAGGCAGGTGATGGGGACTGGTCGTGCGAGAGAGTCTTTCAGCAGCGCGTTTGCTAGTGATGAAGTTTTCGGGCTTGGTCCTGGCTCTGCTTTCCATCAAGCCCAACTTTGCAGAAGTCAGCAACAAGTCGCATCATGGGTGTAAATTTGGATCCTGGCCCCCGATGCTTGTATGTGCTAAGTGAGCTAAAAAAGAACAAAATGGGAAACATGTTAAACCGAAAAGAGCAGCAACCTTCATCAGGGACTGTTAAACATGCTGGTCCATATGCAACCTTTGGCTCGTGGAGCCTTCAAACTGCTGCCTGTGGGAAGCACAGGAGTTTTGCCAAGGGAAGGAGCTCTCTAGACTTTCTGCACCCGGGCGCTTGCTTGGGGCCACCTCCAGAGCCACTTTGCCGGGACAGGGGGACCTTCAGGCTGACCTGACGTGGGGCTACCGGCGCTAAAATAGTTACACGGGCTCAGCTGAACATTTCCTGTCCTCCGGTGTTGGGTTCGGGGCGAGGTGTTGGGTGTCAGGCGCTGTGTTGACATGAAGCCGGAGGCTTTGCCGGGGCGCGGACACGTATCCGTGCAGGCTGCTTGTGAGCGCGCGTGGGGAACGCACACGCTTGGGCTCGCAGCGGCCGCTCTCCTTACAGCCCTCCTGCTGGAGAGAAGGGTGTTTGGTGTCTGCCGAGCAAGGAAAAGCATGGGAACCGGGGTCAGAGAGGATAAAATAGGACATTAAAAACACATAAACCATGCTGTGCTGCTAAACGGTAGCAGCGTGATGGATATCCTCCACATTAGCATTTCTGCCCGAGTTAACACGGGCTCCAAATCCCACTGATCGGGTGGATTCACATGCAGCGCCGCGGGGCTGCTCCTCCTGTCCAGTGGGAATGCCGCCCTCCCATTCCCGCTGCCGTTCCCAGAGCCAGCCGCGGTGCACGGGCATGCTGGGGGGCACAGAAAGCTGCACCCGCATGGGCATTTTCCCCTTCCCTCTTTATTTTTCCAACATCTGGCACCACAGGCTAGACCAGAAATGCAAGTGCCCAGACTGTGTCCGGGCTATTAAAATCCCGGGAGGGAGGGGTGGCTCTGAGGTCCATCTGCTAGTTATTGATCACGGCCATCTGGCGAGGCAGCCGCTTTCTCCTCTCGCGTCGGATCACAAGCTCCTTCGAGAGGCTGTCTCGGCGCAGGGAGCGTCGCGGGCGCTGTGGAGGGGCAGCAGCTCCGCGCTCGGGACGAGGCAGCACCCGCGTGCGCCGTCCGGGCGCTCGCCAGCCCCCAGACCACCAAGACGGCTCGGGGGAGCGCGGGC